GTGGTCGAGTGGTGATGAGGTGACCAACCGATTGGCGACACGCGGAGCGGTCGAGTGGTGATGAGGTGACCAACCGAAGGCGACGCGTGGGGCGGCCGAATGGTTATGAGGTGACCAACCGGTTGGCGACGCGGAGCGGCCGAATGGTTATGAGGTGACCAACCGAGTGGCGACGCAGAGCGGCCGAATGATGAAGACGCATCCAGCGGAGTGATGCTGCACAGGGCGTCCGTGTGAAGTAGAGGCGCGTGCCGTGGAGTGATGACGCGCGGGGCGTCCAAGTGATGTAGTCGCGTCCCGCGGAGTGGCGACGAGCGGGGCATGCGAGTGACGTAGACGCGTCCCGTAGAGTGGCGACGCGCGAAGCGTCCGGGTGATATAGACGCGTGCCGTGGAGTGACGACGCGCAGGACATCCAAGTGAAGTAGACGAATCTTGCGGAGTGACGATGCCCGGGCCGACCGAGTAAAGTAGACGCGTCGCGTTCGGGTGAGATAGACGTGTCCCTCGGAGTGACGAGGCGCATGACGTCCGAGTGTCGAGGACGTGTCCAACCGAGTGGCACCGCATGAGGCGGTCGAGTTGAGCATTTCATCGAGGAGGCATCCGATCAAGTGGGAACACATGAATGATTAAGTGCCTGCACGTTAGTCACCTAAACGTGTCCAAGAAAACGATGCGTGCCCGAGTGTTGGGTTGACCAGTCGGGCTGGTTGTGTGTTGCATATGTCGAGTGTAGACTTGTACTTGTCCGAGTGTACCAGAGTACCGACTCAGATTAGCGGAGTGGCCGGGCCGGCTTGAATTCAATGCAAGCTGCGTTTGCGCTGGAGGCTGCGGAAAATATGGATCAACGCACCTTGTTTGAATGGCTAATTAATGAGGCAGCCAATTAATCCGGCATTGAAGATTCCTTCACCGCGTCCTTTCGTTTCCATTGTTTCCTGCATGCAGTTAATTAAGAGAGGAAACGGCCCAGGTTATGCATGCACTTACCAGGCATTGATTCCTTCAATCCTGAACGGCCATCGGTTGCAGGACGAAGTTGTTTTGTAGCTTGTTGTTGTAGCGCACCCCTGCCACCGAGACCGTCGCCGGCGACCGGCGCCGGAGGAAGGAGCGATGCGTTCCTACACCGCGCCGGGCCTGCGCCTCCACTACGGAGGTCGGCGCCGAGCAGCCGAGAAGATGATGCCGAAGTCGACGACGAAGCGAAAGGCGACGGTGGCCGTGCATGACGATGACGCCGGTGGTCGTGCGTGATGATGATGATGCGGACGGCGTTGGTGGTCGTGCATGACGACAATGAAGCGGACATCACCGGTGGTCCTGCACGGAGGCGTGGTTGACTTCCTGCTTTCACGTCGGCAGTTGGTGATGAAGAAGACAAGCGACAGCGGACTGGCCATGTCGGGAGCTCTGCCTCCATAGCGTTTGTCCGAATGGTTCCGCTGTTGCTCATGCTCTCTAGTTGATGTCAAAAAGAAAAACAACCATTGTTAGATTAAAGATCGATTGTAAAGAATAAGATAGTATGGAATGAGACTTCCTGATCCCAATATACAAAGAGTAGCATGACTCCCCTGTGAATGGAGTGATGTCTGAAACATCCTGAATCAGATCCTCCATTGATGATTGTTGATCGGCGGACGAATATTGAAGAAAGAAAACCATTTGCATCATGGCTCGATAAACGCCATGCCCCATGGTGGGCGCCATCTGTCGTGGGAATGATTCCGACAATAATAAGGTATATGGTAATGGAGCATGATCTATCGAGATGCATATGGGTAACATGGTGGTTTTAGCGAGTTTGGGCCTCTCACGGTGGAGATAACAGCCCTACGTCTCGTGCTCCGGAGAGGCTTTGTATTATCTGAGTATGTATCCGGAGATTACAATGTGTGAGAGAAGGGAACGGATCCCATGCCTGAGCTAAGTCCTGAGACTAATGGTGAAAAGAGAGAGAGGTGGAAGAAAAAAAAAACCTCGTCTAGTGGTGGGGGTGGCTTATATAGAGTGCGCCACCCCCTCACCTCCTATGTTACAAAGTGGGGCATGAGTTCCATAATACCAGCCCACTAGCAAGCCCTCACTATGAGAATGATGCCGACTGCTTTGCTGTCTGCTGGTCTTCGTATATCCGAGTGAGTCGTACGGTCGAGTGGATGGTATGCTGCTTGGTCGAGTGGATAGTATGCTGCTTGTCCGAGTGGATAGTATGCCTGTATAAAATTTATCTGGACCCACATGTTGTGTGGACCCCATGCTTTATGATATTTCGACCATTCATGGGCCTACCTATTATGTATATCCCCAATAGGTCCTAAATAAACGGTTTTAACTCCTTTCCGCGACGGCATTCGGAACCGTCGCCAAGTGAGTGTGGGCCATAGGGGAGTCCTTCCCACACGACTCAGAAACCGTTGGGGATATGCCCTCCTGGCACACACGCTCGGCAAAATGAGGTCGTGTGCGACCGGCGAGCACTCAAATACGTACATTAGTTCTAAAAAAACACAATTATACATGCAAAATCATTTCCGGTTGTAAGTACATCTCACACAGTCAGTCATCACTAAACGTTTCCGTTAGTATATACATCCCACACAGTCACTACAAGGAAAACGTTTGCGCAAGGTGGCGTAACGCAAACAGTTTTGAAGAGAATGTCATGTGTGATTGTTCATTGATCCAACACGGTTTATTCCTAGAAACTGTGTGCGTTGCCTGAGGTCATCACCCACGGTGTTTTCTCATTAACCGTTTGCAATAGGAAAACCCAATTGGCAAGCTAATTGGCCAATTAGCGGGCTAATTGCCCTATTATTAATAATCCATTTCCATATTAAGGAAGCGGGATTTCATAATTTAAATACATCGGAGTACAACATGATATAGCTTCAGCACTCAGCTACCCCTTTAAACAACTGCACCAGTAGCAAGTTTCACATGCAACATCTAGAACCTTTTGAAATTAGCATCATAGATGGTACATAGAGAGATGCATCTCATCTGGAAAACCGCTGAAGCGGAAGGCAAATATTGAGCCTTCATTCATGTTGAAGGTCTTTGCAACTTTAGGCCAGTGCCTGTGGATGATTGACTGTCCATCCTTCGACCTCTTCAGGAACACTTCAATATTGAACCGTGGGTGTTGTATGAAAACTTTCCTCGCCTCCTGACCACAGCGGTGGTTTGAGAGGTAATCATCAGTGAACATTAAAAACAAGGATGTTCATAAATATCTTCTCTATATTGGAAACAGGGCAAAGGAATAAAAAAAAGGCAAGGTATAATAGTTAGTACCATCTTGTAAACCTCAGTGCTTCTCATTGTTTCCCTGCAACACATATAAGGTAGTTAGTCATCAGGTTAAGTAAGGGTTCTCATGCTATTAGTAAAATATGTTGATGAAAAATAAGCACATTGCAGATTCATCAGATTAATTCAAGCCACATGGAAAACCCATTTATCCAAACCAAGCATGATTAAGAACTAGGAAATATAGCACTTGTATATGTTTCTCATGTATTAAGTGCAGCCAAATTTGATTTATTCCTTACATGGTATACAATAACAGAATACAGACACAGCAATTGAACATCACATTGCAGAATTGAACCAAGCAGTTAACTAAACACCACAACAAATGAACCAAACATTAACTGAGCACCGCATTGCACAATATAACATACTCGATCAGACAGTTAACCAAACCAAGCATGCTTAACAACTTGGAAATATAGCAATTGTATTTGTTTCTTATGTATTTAGTACAACCAAATTCGATTTTTTCCTCACATGGTATACAATAACGGAATGCAGCCAAAGCAATTGAACATTGCATTGCAGAATTGAACCAAGAAGTTAACTAAACACCACAGCAAGTGAACCAAGCCACAACAAATGAACCAAGCAGTTAACTAAACACCAATTAAACAATATAACATACTCGTAATAGAAGATCAGACAGTTAACCAAACCAAGCATGCTGAACAACTTGGAAATATTGCACCCTGAAGAATTGAACATCACATTTGCAGAATTGAACCAAGCAGTTAATTGAACACCACATTGAACGACATATAGAACATATACACTATAGCAGAATATTGCATGGTAAAAGTAGATAGCACAATTCACTAGAATTTGTTAAGGAAAGGCAGTAGCTAGCAAACTGAACATGGGTCCTTATAGTGAGCTAATAAGACAAGCTACTCCTCATTGCCAGAGATATCGATGACGATTGGGTCCTTGGACATGGAAGAGGGCAAGGCCTCCGCATCGTGGGTGCCCTCGTTGTAGTGGTGAGTTGCCTGAGCCGCTCCGGGCACCAACCTGCTGGCTCTCGAGATGAGGTAAGCACGTGCACGCTGAGAAAACACCTCGTAGTCTTCGTTGAAGGCACCGACGGTGGCCTCTAGAAAACGCCACGAACTGTCGTTTAAAGCAGCCAACCACGTCGTGGCGTCAGCGTGCGAGGCGTCAACGGTAGCCTCGACGGCGAGGTGCTCCTCCAAGATCTGGGGGTCGGCACGAATGGCAGACATCGCGACCTCATCCGCGTGTGTGACCGTGATTTGCTTCTCCGCTGCCAAATGCTCCTTGAGGTCCTGGCTATACTGCGTGAACCATGGCTTAGGCCGGCGCTTATTTGGTGGAGGGGTCGGTGATTTGGGTGGAAGGTATCGCGCTCGCGCCGGCGGTCGGGGCATGTGGGATGTGGAAGGAGGAGGAGGATGGGGGTTGGGTGTGGGTTACCTGCCTGGATAGGCGAGGCCGAGCAGCGTGAAGGAGGGTCGCCGGCGAGGAGGCGTCGACGCTGCAAGCAAGGAGTGAAGATTTCAACTTGGAAAGGAAGGCGGAAATAGGGGAAATGTGGCTTTTGGTAAGGGGGGGGGGCGAGGAGGTAGATATTTCCGTGGAAGCCAAAAATTTGGAATCACTTCAGCCAAAAAACTGGCGTGCAAAGTGTCAGCAGACATGGTCCCTTATTTAGAGCGGGTTGTGGACTATAGCCGTCGCACCTTCTCGCGTAAGCCGTATGCGTATGCTACCTCTTGAGCAATGCGTTGGTTTTCCCTTGAAGATGAAAGGGTGATGCAGCAAAGCAGCGTAAGTATTTCCCTCAGTTTTTGAGAACCAAGGTATCAATCCAGTAGGAGACCACGCGCGAGTCACCTCGTACCTACACAAACAAATAAGAACCTCGCAACCAACGCGATAAAGGGGTTGTCAATCCCTTCACGGCCACTTGCAAGAGTGAGATCTGATAGAGATAATAATAATAATAAGATAAATATTTTTGGTATTTTTATGATATAGATTGAAAGTAAAGATTGCAAAATAAAATAGATTGAAAACTTGTATGATGCAGAATAGACCCGGGGGCCATAGGTTTCACTAGTGGCTTCTCTCAAGATAGCATAAGTATTACGGTGGGTGAAAAAATTATTGTCGAGCAATTGATAGAAAAGCGAATAATTATGAGAATGTCTAGGTATGATCATGTATATAGGCATCACGTCCGAGACAAGTAGACCGAAACGATTCTGCATCTACTACTATTACTCCACACATCGACCGCTATCCAGCATGCATCTAGAGTATTAAGTTCATAAGAACAGAGTAACGCCTTAAGCAAGATGACATGATGTAGAGGGATAAACTCATGCAATATGATATAAACCCCATCTTTTTATCCTCGATGGCAACAATACAATACATGTCGTTTCCCTTTCTGCCACTGGGATCGAGCACCACAAGATTGAACCCAAAGCTAAGAACTTCTCCCATTGCAAGAAAGATCAATCTAGTATGCCAAACCAAACTAATAATTCGAAGAGACTTGCACAGATACACCAATCATACATAAAAGAATTCAGAGAAGATTCAAATATTGTTCATAGATAAACTTGATCATAAACCACAATTCATCGGATCTCGACAAACACACTGCAAAAGAAGATTACATCGAATAGATCTCCAAGAGAATCGAGGAGAACTTTGTACTAAGATCCAAAGAGAGAGAATAAGCCATCTAGCTACTAGCTATGGACCCAAAGGTCTGAAGTAAACTACTCACACATCATCGGAGGGGCCATGGAGTTGATGTAGAGGCCCTTCGTGATCAATGCCCCCTCTGGCGGAGCTCCAGAAAAGTCCCCAAGATGGGATCTCTTGGGCATAGAAGGTTGCGGCGGTGGAAATAGGGTTTCATGGTACTCCTCGATGTTCTCAGGGTATATGGATATATATAGGAGGAAGAAGTAGGTTGGTGGAGCAACAAGGGGGCCACGAGGGTGGTGGGCGCGCCCAGGGGGGTAGGCATGCCCCCTGCCTCGTGGCCTCCTCTATTGTTTCTTGACGTCCACTCCAAGTCCCCTGGATCACGTTTGTTCCAAAA